ACAATAATCGCCCAAATAATCAAGTGCAAGAGTAAAGAGAAAAAAATAATTGCCCTTTGAATGATACTAGTTGCGGCTAAGAAATGATGACAGGAATATGGATGAAAGAAAATATTTTCTTAAATTTGAGAAAAAAAAAAAAAGAGAGACACACACACAAAAACTTAAAATAATTTCATGTGGTTAGAAATGAAAGAATAAAAAAAATAGATTTAAAGGAAGAAATAAGAAATTCTAAAAATGAAGTTTAAATGTTATCAATATCGGCACAGAATAAAGAGAATACTATTGAAATCGAACAAAGAAAATGTAACAAAAATTGAATTGAGGCAGGAAAGAGAATTCTAGTATGAAAAATTAAGTGACGAAAAGAAAGAGTGAGAACTTATGGAAGATGTATTATTGGAAGGAAAGCAAAGGAGAGAGTTCAAGAGAGAATAATATAAAGAGGGAGAAAGAAAAAAATGACTAAATCAAGAAGGAAAAGGTGATGAATTAACAACAGAATAAAGCGAGCAAAGAAAGCAGAGACAACGAATAATGTTTTTTAACATGAAAACAAAAGGCTATAAAAGATCAGAAATAAAATGAAGCAGCAAAAAACGAAAGTGATCTGTCCTCAAGACAACTTGATCGCATTAACGACTCTTTTGTTCAGTCGATGCCAGAAAGTGGAATATAGGTGAAGAAACCGAAAAAAAATGACAGGCAACTTGGAGCAAAATACATTTGTTAAAGACATAAAAAAATATATCAGAACGAAGATCAAGACAGCGCAGATGTAAAGACAACTGTACTTTTCAACAAATAAATCCCCCAGTAATAATTTAACAAGTTTGTCCACCAGCGACACGCGGCTTATTTAAAAAAAAATGCTATATAAATGCAGGGGATACACACGTTAACACTAATTTTATACATAACCTTCTTCCAGAGTGATTATAGAAATACAAATATTTCCTGACTTTTGTGGCTCTAAGTAAATGTTGATTCCTTTGTTTCTGTCCTATAATCAATTCACACAGACGCGTTTAGTATTTGCTCATTGTTTGTCCTGCTTCTCTTAAAATCTCCAAACCTACCTTCCTGGTTATATTCCAAAGATATATCCAAATTCGAAAGAAATATCAACTATGGCCTTTTTAATAAACATATTCAGCTTTCGTGTTGCTCCTATATTGCTAAAAACCTACGCATGTCTCACGTTCTGTGCACAGATTTGCTGGTATTCATCAGTAGAACCACATCCCTTTTATTTCATGTCTCTTCTTCATTTCTATGGAGATTGTCTACTATTCACTGCCATATCGGGGGTTAGATATTACATTAACAATTAAAGCCGGCACTAAACAGAATTAACTATGAATACTGATGTAATGTTCTGAAATGCCTATAAAAGAACAATTTTTTTCACACTTTAATGCGCGCATGATCATGGCACTAGAACATAGAAGAAAAAAATTCATAAATGATACTTTTTCACGTTCTAATGAACGCTTAGCTCATTGTAAACAGTATTGCATTTAAAAGGATAATGAAAAATTACGATACTGGATAGCAACGCACAGCTTTGCATAAATACTTGTAGACCTGAATAGCATATAGCTTTCAACTACTTCACCCCGAAGATGATCTTGAAAGAAGATCGAAAGTACTTGCGAAATTAAAATAAATTTAAACAAGTATATGCACATTTCCCTCATCCTTTAATACATGGAAAATTATTCGTGAGTATGAACTGATTTTGTCAAAAATTAGCAAATATAATGTCTGTAATTTATGCAATTTTATATATATATATATATATATATATATATATATATATATATATAATGGACTCTCCCGTCGGTTTTGACGTATGAGGATCTGTCAGCTTATTGGTTCAGTTATGAAAGTTTATGCGCTAATCTTAAGCGACATTTAAGACCCGCTAGTGATTTACAAAGGAGGCCACATATGGAGCAAATGTGAGGATTGTGAGATGAGATCACTGTTAGATTGGTTGACCTTTTAGATCTTGCTCTCGTTTCTTGAAGATGATTCAGTCTAGCAGATTGAAAATTGCTGAATCCACTAAAACACGTTGATCGCCATTCTACCCGCTCCAAGGCTAAGCGCTCAAGAGTGTTATGTGGCATATTAACTGCTGACAAGTTGCTTTTCAGCTTGTCTTTGTATCTTAGCCATGGGCGTCCTACATTCCTGTAGCCCTGATCTAACTGGCTGTACATTAGAATCTTGGGTATCCTGTCATCAGACATTCTCAAGACATGACCAGTCCACCGTAACTGAAACTGTATGATAAAAGTCTCGATTCCTCCAATATTACACCTATTAAACAGGTTTACGTTAGATGTCCTATCTTGAAGCTTAACTCCACAGATTGCACGCAGACAGCTTTTATGGAAAACATCTAGCTGGCGTATATGTATGAAGTCCATGACTCTGAGCCATACAAAAGGATGGCAAGTACAAGAGCTCTGTAAACCCGAATTTTCGTATCCAGTCGAATAACCCGCTCATTCCACAAGCGATGGCGAAGTTTGCCGAAAGCTCTGATAACCTTAGCAATCCGATGCATGATTTCCACTGTAGTTGACTTTGCTACCAAGATAGGTGAAAGACTTTACATAGTTGTCTTCTACGTTCAATGGTCTCTCTGGAAATTTGTAGACTGGTGTTTTTTTGTTTCGCACCACAGAATTGCTTCGGAGTAGGACAAGGTTGGTGCACAACTTCAGTTTTCTTTATGCTAAGTGTAGACCAAAGGCTTTACATGCAGCAGAGAAACGATTTATTAGATGTTGGGCTTTCTCAAAGGATGTCACTACAAGAGCCGTATCATCAGCAAACAACAAATCACAAATAATATGCGTACGAAGTTGGGTCTTGGCTTTCAAGCGCTGATGATTGAAGAGACCACCAGTTGTTCGATACTGAAACTTCACGCCACTCTCTGTGTCCGCAAATGCATATTTCAGCATCACCGAGAAGAAAAGGGCGAAAAGGACAGGGGCCATGACACAACATTGCATGGTGCCATTTGTGACATATATATATATATATATATATATATATATATATATATATATATATCGACAGACAGATAAATAGACCTCATACTTCGAATAAGAAGGAGAGAGGAATATATATATATATATATATATATATATATATATATATATATATATATATATAAATATATATATATATATGGTAGATTTGACGGATGAGGGTCAGCAACTCAGTTCCTAGGAATCCACAGCCAGGCAGAAGATATGTTTTCATTATAGTGGTGAAGTCTTTGTACAGAAAAAAAACACACTTTTTGAAGGGCTGAATAGGGAGACCTGGTGCAATACGTGCCACAAGATACTAAAAATACCTTCCGCAGGTTTTGAATTCAGAGTTGTCCTTCTCCTAGACATTTCTCATCCATAACTGGAGGGAGAAGAGGATTCATACTTTTCCTAATTAGCACGTAGGTGAATGTAATGGATTTGACTGTAATTCGATCTCGGCTCTCCGAGCCTCAGTCCCAGGCGACCCACTCCATATATATATATATATATATATATATATATATATATATATATATATATATATATATATATATATATATATATATATATATATATATATATATATAGAGAGAGAGAGAGAGAGAGAGAGAGAGAGAGGGCGCGAGAGAGACAGACAGACTGAGAGAGCGAGAGGTAGATAGATATATAATACATTTATGTGCACACACATATATATATATATATATATATATATATATATATATATATATATATATATATATATATATATATATATATATATATATATATATTCAATACGTCAACATGACATTTAAGAATCCATTGAATCCATCCGGTATTCGGTGGCATTTTGTAACTAGAACACTGAGAAATGTGGACGCAAAATTTTAAAAAAAGAAGAAAAAACAAGGTCTGGTTATTGTTTGTGCTATAACATATTATGTTACGAAAAATAAACAAAGAAATAAACGGTCGACCAGTAAGATAACGTTTTTAAGGCGAACAGTCTTTGTAATTAAAGGGCTGAATATCAAGTGATGGAGCATTAATACCGACAAAACGAAATTACAATTTCTATTTACCTGTCCTTTTTCGCTGATATATTATATGCATTTAAGTAGTCTTGACAGCAAAACCGAATTTATTTACAGAACATGATTTCTAAGCGGAAAGTGGAATCGGCTTGCCAAATTTAAAATGTCCTATCTTTTTTTATTTTTTTTATCCTGGAATGGTAATCAGTGTAAACGAAGGGAAATTGTAAACAATGGATACATCATTGGAACCTACTACCCTATCTTTCTCAAGAATCCAGTGCAATTCATTGACTAAAAACAATTTATAGACAAGTTGTTCCTATTTCTACTTCTAGGCCGCATTTTCGGAATGAAAATTTGCTCGCGCCTCACCAAATTTTATATGATAGATTGTACATTTAAAAATATTAAAAACAAAACGAAGAGAGACTTAAAGGGAGATAACCGCAGATTTGAAGAACGAATATTATCACTGATAACTCTCCCCTCCAATATGTGGAATCTGGTTAAAATATCACAGTGATAAAACCGGTCAATAACTATTTATACTGGGATTCATGCAAAGTAATCCATAATAATATTTTTGATTTTAAAATCATATTTATTTTTGGCATATGAATTTTTTTATTCTGTTTCTAAATCTTGCATTGTCTTTCAATCATTCCGTCTAACCTGCTATATTCTTCCGCCTCACCTGCTATCGTCTTCCGCCTCATCTGCTGTCCTCTTCCGCCTCACCTGTTATCCTCTCCCGCCTTACCTGCTATCCTCTCCCGCCTAATCTGCTATCCTCTTCTGCCTCACCTGCTATCGTCTTCAGTCTCATCTGCTATCCTCTTCCGCCTCACCTGTTATCCTCTTCAGCCCCACCTGCTATCCTCTTCCGCCTCACCTGCTATCATCTTCTGCCTCACCTGCTATGCTCTCCCGCCTCATCTGCTATCCTCTCCCGTTTCATCTGCTATTCTCTTCAGCCTCACCTGCTATCCTCTCCCGCCTCACCTGCTATTCTCTTCCGCCTCACCTGCTATCCTCTGTCGCCTCACCTGCTATCCTCTTCAGACTCACCCGCGATCCTCTTCCGCCTCACCTGCTATCCTCTCTCGCCTCATCTGCTATCCTCTCTCCCCTCATCTGCTATTCTCTTCCGCCTCACCCGCGATCCTCTTCCGCCTCATCTGCTATCTTCTTCCGTCTCACCTGCTATCCTCTCCCGCCTCACCTGCTATGTTTTCCCTCTTCATCTGCTATCCTCTTCCGCAGCATCGTTTTAGAACTACTGGTGCAGAGGGATAATCATCTAATTAAGCATTGAGTGAATGACAAAATTAAGACAAAAGGAGGCTGGTAAACAGGAAATTCTGATTTAGAGCAACAAAGGACCACAAACCAGAGAACAATAATGGTCAACATTCGGAAAAGGCAGGGCATATAAAATAATTGCTTTTAATTACTGGGTAGCATCTGTCTTTAAATAATAGTAGAAAAGTGGGAAACGCGCCTGAATCCTAAGGAGATGTTACTCCGCGAATTTTCTGAAGAAGTATGTTGACGTGCAATTCGGTACATCTCTTTGTTTGAAAAACCGCTAATTCTCCGTGATGCGTAAATATATCTACAAAATTAATAAGCTTCGGAGAAAAGTCAGTAATTTAAAAAAGAAAGAAATTTGTGTGGAATCAGATTGTCTTTCAGAAAAAGGATTGATGACAGTAATCTTGATAGGATATTAATGATAGGATGATAAAAGCCCAAAAGAAATACACCAATTTGTCAAAGATGAAAAAAAATGATAGGTAAAATAAATAACGTCAGATTGAAAATAAGATTAAAGCGAAAAGAACAACAGTTGAAGATGACAATGACACGGTCGCTAAAATGAAAGTCTTAGAATCAATAATCAAGATAGGTAAAAAAAGCAAATTATCGCAGAAGTTTGATGAAACGGTAAATCCTTATTAATTTGTTATTAATATCTATTTAATATTATTCTCTGGTGCTTAATCAGAACACGAAAAAATGCCATTCTATTAGTAAACAGCGCAGTCTATAGATGAATGCCAAGTCTCTTGTGAGATGTGACCACTTATCGAAAAAGTTATAGGGCTTCAGAAGTAGAAGTTAACAAAATGTATCCAAGTTTTTTTTTATATACGGGGTGTAACAGCAAAACTGTCCAAATCATGTTAGAGCAAAATTTGTCCAATTGTTAACTTCAGCTCTGAACCGTTGTATCTTAGAAACGATTAAAGATATCATACTGGTTTTTATAACACAGTTGTACTCTACTTTGAGCAATAAGAATATCCCAAGCTTAAGAGAAAAATCGTGAGGAAAATGATATGATCATTATATATATATATATATATATATATATATATATATATATATTCATGAATTATTCGCACAAAAACAAATGCAAAGGTTAATGATTTAATTGGCGAGAAATCCATCGTCGCAAACAATTCAAATAATATACAAAAACCTCCGAATCCGTTATGAATGAAATGATCCTTGTTTCTATAAATTTCTGCCGTATTAGTTCTTATTTTTACTACAAGCTTTCGTCTGTTCCTACAGTCATCTTCAGGTATAGAATAGATGTTGTTCTTGTTTTTTCTCTTAGTAATAAGAGGACAACGAAAATATATGTATTGTTGTATCCGAAAACGCTATTGGAAATGAGTTATTGTTTTTGGAGCGCGCCAGTAGCAACGCCGAGTTTGATTTTAAATTTTTAAAAGTTGTGCGTTCATATACAAATATGGTGATGAACGAATCTTTTACTGGTAAATTTTCTGTCAAAGTGGCATGAACTATATTGTTCAATAATTACAGTAATGTCGCACTTATTATCCAAAAGTCGCACTTGCATCAGTTATTTAATTTACGATAAACGTGCAATCAATTTACAAATTACAATTTACAGAAATTTATAGAAACAAGGATCATTTCATTCATAACGGATTCGGAGGTTTTTGTATATTATTTAAATTGTTTGCGACGATGGATTTCTCGCCAATTAAATCATTAACCTTTGCATTTGTTTTTGTGTGAATAATTCATGAATTTGTAAATTGACGTTTATTGCACGTTTATCGTATATATATATATATATATATATATATATATATATATATATATATATATATATATATATATAAATTTTATAATTAATCATAGCTATGAATTGAAACACTCATCACGGATTAAAATAAGGTTCAAAAATATATATATATATATATATATATATATATATATATATATAGTTGTATATTTAGGCAGCAATCCTTCCTTTATGCATGTTTCATTAAAAACGACAGACAACGTACTACGGTTAAGCTTTTTATTTAATTTTTCTTGTTTTCTAACAAGACCTTTCTTTTCTCGACAAAGAGTGTGTAAGACATATGAACATGCCACATGCCCTATGTCCTGCCACAGGATGCCCTACCCCTGTTTCATAATAGGGTTTTCGGTTGTACATATATTAGGAGCAACAATTTTTTTATCTGACTCGCAGATATACACATACACACCTAAACATATAGTAAAAATAACATGCACATACGTATATACTTATACATATATACAAATATATTTACATCCATAGGTTTATTACTCATCACGACTCGACCCAATATATACATATATACACACAAATGAAAATATATACCCATACATATACATACATTCATACGCATTCACGCGTACATACAGACATACATATGTACACATACAGGCACATACGCACACTTCTATGTACACACTTATATACAAACATAGGTCTAATCATCAGTTTTCATTCTCCTAGGAAGGATTTCAACCAAGGCTAAAATCCCAAACTGGCTATGAGACGTTCACTATTTTATCATTGCTGGGACCCTAATCTAATGATCTTAAATCCTTTCGGGATTTTTACTAGGTAATTGTTTATTTAGATTTTGTTGCTGATTTCAATTTACTTTACAAGAAAAGCCTTGCTATTTCTTCAGAACAAATGTACGATATTTATATTTCCTTTCCGCATTTTCTTGGTGCATGTTTCATCATATTCTCCATGTCGCCATATTGTCTCATTTCAGTGCACTCGGGTATTCTGCTGCTAAAGTGAATGGAATCATTCGTGTTCTCGTCTCTATGTTTGGTTTATTTGTTATATTTGCCGGATATTTCACTTACAATAACTTACAAACATATTAGGAATAAAGCATACACTCAGGATGGCTATTTCCATTTCCGCCGTCTTTATTTCTGGCTTCCAACTTATTCATCCATTCTTCTCCTTTTCTTATTGTTTAATATGATACATGACATTATTTTTTTTTCTTGGACTCTGTTGCATTTAATGTCCGTTTATTCTTATGCGTAATGTAGACATTTTCTAATTTCGAAAATAAAAAAGCTCGTAATGTTTCTTTAAGTGAAATTCAAAGACAGTATTTTGATGATTCTTCTTTTGATATTATCAAGGAGATGCCGGTAAATAGCAGGGGCACCGGAACAATATTCTAAGCAAGGACGAATGGTAGACTTATGGATATGTAAGATAGATTCCGGAGATAAAAAAATTGTCGGTTAATGTGTCGTGCGAGTCAGTTTTTTCTGTTTTCATTTATAATGTCTTTAATCTTGTCAATGTTTAAATACTTCTAAGGATGTCAGCATTTCTATTACAATTCATGCTGGTCCTGCCGCTTTGCTTCTGTTGAAATTGCCTAATGCTGGCTTCAATTCAGATTTTAATATTTCAAGTCCGTGGATATTTATGTGTATTGTAGGTATCCGCTTTCATAGTGGAACGGTTTTTCAATGTATTCTTTCTTACTCTGAAGTATTTTTCTTTAACTGATATCAGTGTCCTGTACTTGAAGACTTGTGCGTCCTGATTATGAATATATATATTTTTTGCTAGTTCTCTTGTATCTGCTGTAAGTGTAGCATGCATTCATTCTATTTCTGTACCCTTTTCATTGAGTCATTCCTATTTTGCCGAGCTTCACTTCTTCCGAAATTATTTGTGAGACGTATACTATACCATATATTGGTCTTGTTTATTGTCTCATTTTCATCAATGTCGACAGTTTCATTCAGGTCTCCCGTGACTATTTGCATTGAGGCTTGACGTTGTCTAGCGCGCAGTAAAACCTCCTTTCAATATCTCCTTCCCGACGTTGTACTATAAGTGCATATACAACTATGATGAATCTGCTAAAAGGCTCCAATTTTAGTCCAACTACAAGAATTCTGTCAGATAATTGATAGTATCCTAGAATACATTGCTTCAGGTGTTGGCTTTATATATGTTCTAGTCACATCTCATTTTTCTACCCGCCTACATATATGAGCCTGTGTTTGGCACGGACGAAATCTCCATTGTTTATCCATCTATTTTAGCATACGCCTTAACATTTAATCTATTCATTGCTTGCTTTATATTTTGTAACTTGCCACATTTATTTAGTGTTCTGATATTTACATGTTCCTGGGAATATATATTTTATTGGTGGAAACAGTCGCTCGATGTCTACCATTTTCGGTCGAGGGATCAATCCCAAAGATTCTGACTCATTTTATCCCACTGTTCTTTATAATTTTGCTAACAGCCACTAGGCGACGGTCTTGTGACACTCGTTTCATATACCCTTCCTTACCGTGTGAGGAGTTCATTCCAATAGACTTAAAACTGCCTTCACTCTATAATCATTCATAATTTGATTGTTAAACGTTATGAGTTTTCTTGAGATTGATAGTGGAGGTTGTTTCCATTGTTTTCTCCACGGTGATTTATTGCCCTTCTGCCCTTTGATAGGCCGTACGTTTAACAAGCCAGCTCACTCGCCAGAAATTGAAGTGGGAGTACCAGTTTCGTCGCCAACCATTCAAGAATAGATTTCACATGTATAGGCACACACAGACACATACACAGACACACAAACACAGACACACAGACACACAAACACAGACACACAGACACAGATACAGACATACACACACACATATATGCGGGAGTATACTGTGAAAGGAAAATGTGTAAAAGACAAGATGTAAATATATCTTAGCCGATGCGTTTGGCCACCTGAGGAAACAAATTTGCCTTTATAAAATCCCTCAAATGACGAAACGTGTTGGCTGATAACATTCCTTTTTTGTTATTGTCATATATATATATATATATATATATATATATATATATGTGTGTGTGTGTGTGTGTGTGTGTGTGTATGTGTGTTTGTGTTTAGGTGTGCGTATGTGTTATCTTCAACTAAATTAATGTTCTAAACAATATTTTAATCTAAAGCAACGTTTTACCATGACATTTTCGAGTCAATAGAGAGAAAAAATTGCAACGTCATTATTATGATTCGAAAAGACAAAAAATTTAATATCTGATATCAGAAACATAAATTTAAAAATAAAAACATTGTAGTGAAGACACATTTTCCTCTTTCAGTATTAATTCTAGAAAGTCATGGTAAGAACTTGCTTTAAACTTAAAAAAAAAAAAATTGTTTCGAATTTTTATTTTCTTTGTAAGGGAATTGAGGTTTTTGTTATAAATTTACGTTTGTCGATGTCACTTATCTCCTCTATTCCAACCTAACCAGCACACAAGAGTAGATAAGAGTAAAAAAACGTCAATACATAATACAAATCTTTATTATTATAAATATTATAAAATTATATTATAAAAATTATAATATAAATCTTTATCTCTATTAAATCAAGTTCCTTAAAACCGCTAGGAAATTTTTTGAATCGTAATAGTAACGATGCATTATTTTTCCTCACTCACTAGTAACTGAAGTAAATATTTAAAACATAATGTTTACTATTTTAATTTTGTATATATATATATATATATATATATATATATATATATATAAGTTATCGAACATTGACAGCTAGTTTAAATAAAAGTGTTCGATGAAATAAAACAGAGCTATTGTATATATATTAATAAATCTACATTTTATTTCTCACCAGTAGCATGACTCGGAGTTTTATGTACAATGCAATCTTCAGGCGTTGAGTAGAGACAGACTGTTACATAAATCAAATTTTAATAAAAATATCTGATTAACGTAATACTGTGGCAGTCCATATATTATATTGGAGTTCACTAGAAAATATTGTGTTTAAAATCGACGCGATTTATATTTTATATTGAAAATAAACGGAGAGTAATATTTTTATATTATATTTAAAATAAATGTGGGATTAATTAGAATTTTATAAAATATATATTAAAATAAACCTACCTAGAACTATATATGTGTGTGTGTGTGCACGCGTGTGTGTAATCCATCCAGTTTTGACCAGATAGACTTGACTGGGGTGTTAAATTTTCAATGTTTTTAAGTGGGCATCAATCTTCAAGACTGGGGCCAACTAGATGATGTTCCAACGTTTGTGATTGTACGCATTGGCATCTTAGATAAACATCGTTGTTATAGTGATTTTCCAAGCACAGCCTAGATATGGTACAAAGCCGAAGTGAACCCAGTGAGAATCGAACTCACTACTCAGCCCTAATTAATCTAGCGAGAGAAGCTTGCTAACCATTACACAACCTCGAGGTGCCCAACATCGGTGTTATATAGCCATTTCTCCAGCGAGTTGTGTGTCTGTGTGCGTATGTGTATGTGTATATGCAATCTGTTACTGGATGGTTAGTAACTAAACCGTCACTCTGACTCCAATTTAGTGCGAGTGAGCCGTGTTGTTAGTTAGCCGGTAAGATGAAAAATAAAACCTAACAAAGGGCAGAAGAACTCTTAGCGAGTCAACGGCCAGCTAACTACAGCTAGTGTTTCAATAAAATCACTGTGGTGAAATCACTCCAAATCTCAAAACATTCAGGATACTCGATAAGATAACGGCGCTAAATTCCATTGGAATTAACACCTCGTCAGGTAAGGAGTGATATGTGCAACAAGTTTCACCTGACCATCATCCAGCTACTGTTAGAAAAACTATATATATATCTGTATATACGGCGTTTCGCATGATGATGGGACACGTTTTAAATGCAAGTATCTTGGATTATAAAAATGACCAAATATAAATTATGTATTAAATATTATATAATACCAATTGTGTAATAAATTACATAATTGATATCCAAGAGTTCAACATATTACCTAAGATTTTTCTACTTCCTATCCTGTAATATATATATATATATATATATATATATATATATATATATATATATATATATATGGTACGTGTGTGTGTACGTGTTATTTATATATATATATATATATATATATATATATATATATATATATATATATATATATATATATATATATATGACAAAATAAACTTAAGTCTGTATTTGTACCCGTGAGTGGGTGAGTGGCAATTAATGGCTAACGAAAGCAACCGCCACCATCGAAACATTTTGAATATTCATTGAATAAAATGAAATACAATAAAATAAAATTCTAACATATACATACATACATACATACATATATATATATATTTGTTTTTTGTATGAATAATTCATGACTTTGTAAATTAATTGCACCTTTATTGAAATTAAAATAACTGATCCAAGTGCAACTTTTGGATAAATAGTGCGACATTACTGTAATTATTGAACAGTATAGTTCATGCCACTTTGACAGAAAATTTACCAGTAAAAAAGAGTTCACTTATCACCATATTTGTACAAGAACGCACAATCGTAAAATTTAAATTCAAACTCAGCGTTGCGACTGCACGCTCCAAAAACAATAACTCATTTCTAATAGCATTTTTCGGATTACAATACATATATTTTCGTTGACCTCTTATTACTGAGAGTAAAAACAAGAACAAAATCTATTCCATACCTGAGGATGTCTGTAGGAACAGACGAAAGCTTGTAAGAATAATAAGAACTCATGCAACAGAAATTTATAAAAACAAGGATCTTTTCATTCATAAACAGGCTCGGGGTTTTTGTATATTATTTGAATTACATGGAACTAATGTCTTTAATTTAATCACAAAATTAAATTCGTGTCTTTTAGCTTCCATTTTTGAAACATGGTTAGAACTGTGTAGCGAAAAAAACATATTTTAAATCAATTAATTTATAATATATATATATATATATATATATATATATATATATATATATATATATATATATATATATATTAATTAATTAATAAATATATTAATTCTTCTCTCGGTCAGAAGTTCATTACATTTATTGCTAGCTACGATCTCTTTATTGGGAATATATTGAATTTTAAGCATAGATCATGATCATTTATAAAATTGTGAATTGGCTTCAGTGCTTATTATTTTGACAACGTGTCTCGAAGGAGGACATAATTTTTTTCAAATTCTTAAATACCATCTGTTATCCGCCCCTAGTCAAAAGAGCAGGTTTCGATAAACCTCCAAAGGTAAAAGAAAGATTAAAAAAAAAAAAATATTATTTGCTCCTTTTCAAATTTTGCTCAAAATAAATATCGATATTGTTAATCATAAAGTCTGAAAAAAGACAAAAAAACACGGAAATCTTTGAAAATCTGCATCGTATGAATTCTATCCAGCTGGTTTTGTTTTCATCCTCCGAATGTTTGTTTTGCTGTTTGGCCGATATGATATTGAGATATACGATTCGAAACTGAAATAGTAAGTAAATACAGTACTTTAATGACCGGGTGAATTATACTCTAGAGACAATAGATTATTTCCCAGACACAAACCCTTGACCCAAACTTGCAGACAGAAATACCATCTGATGTTATTTCTGTGCAAAAATGGGAACATGCACATTTAATCGATGACTCTATCTATAAATAAAAAGATCACATGGGCACACACACACACATATATATATATATGTGTGTGGGAGGTGAGCAAATCAGAAATCAGAATTATCAATATATATATATATATATATATATATATATATATATATATATATATCGCTCAGGCACATTTTTGTTTGTTCTGTTCAACACCCCCCACACACATATATATATATATATATATATATATATATATATATATATATATATAGATAGATAGATAGAAGGCCCGGTGCAGTAGTGGGTAGCGCCTCGGAGAGCCGAGTTCGAATACCAGTCGAATCCATTACATTCACTTACGTGCTAATACGCTTGTAAAAGGTACGAATTCTCTACTTCCTCCTCTAACTATGGGTAATTAGCAGAACAAACTGGGTTCTGTAGCCTTGGAGAAGGGCAAGTCTGAAATCAAAACCTGCGGAACGTTATTTCAGCCTTCACCACTATAATCAAATTATATGCACTGGTGTCGGTGCAGAGTCAACCATATATATATATATATATATATATATATATATATATATAGAGAGAGAGAGAGAGAGAGAGAAACAAAGAGAGAGATAGATAAACAGTAGGATATTTGTTGCGACTGCTGGTGTAGACTGGCATATCTTCCAAGTTATACTCCTATATCATTCTTGGGTTAGGTGGGGAATTAATTATAACATGTTTTATCCTCGTTGCCAGTAGGCTGAATATCTATCTATCTATCTATCTATCTATCTATCTATCTATCTATCTATCTATCTATCTCAGTCTGTTTATGTATCTATCAATCTCAGTCGGCTTATCATTTTTTAAGAATTTCCCCCCAAGCAAAACGGGAGAGCCCCAGGAGATTGCAGAGTGTGGCAGAATGCAAAAGTGAGGTCAAAGACCTTGTATAGAGGAGGTTGAGGAAAGGATGAACCGGGATCACGAGAACAGAAGATGTAGATTGAAATTACATTTAAATTTTTGAAGCTTGTAGTTATCCGGGAAGCAAGAATGAGGAAGGGAGCTCCACTGCCGGGAAACGTGAGAAAAGAAACTGCTGGAGTAGAAGTGGTGTGTCCATTCATTTTCAATATATATATATATATATATATATATATGAAGTAGTGTGTCACTACTTCAAAAGTGTTGGGGCCTAAATGCCAATCTAGTAGCACGCTTAAATTCATGTAGTCGGTGCATCAGGGAAGATAGTGTTAGACATTTTGACGGTCGTCTTCGAGTATAGAATCCAGAGGTTAGCAGTGAATATTTCGGGGACAGTAGGAAATCGTAGTCCAGGTTCACAGTGGATATCGCAGCAAAGTAGCAGAGCGTAGTTCTTCCTTCTGTCATCTTCACATGACAAGTTGGCACTGATCATTCGGGTAGGACAACAAAAATGGCCGCCTTTATACACGACGGATAAATGTTCTGCGGCTTCTGATTGGTTAACCTTTTATTGGTGGACTATAAAGGGAGTTAAGTCATTTTGACTGGCTCACTAGTTATAACATATACACAAAAAACTGTAACAGATAGCTCATCAGAACAGTTGCCACGAAAATATTTATAGAGAAGACAGAGGGAAGCCACATCACGTCTAACAGAGAGTGGCTGAAGTCGAGATATCAACTCAGGACTGATTATATTTCAGATCCTTATTTGGATTTTGTTGAGAACCTCGAGATGGTCACCAGGGACACAAGATCAGATAAGGCAAAACTATTCAATGCATGGATGAATGGTAGATGTGTAAGATCTATCTATCTATCTATCTATCTATCTATCTATCTATCTATCTATCTATCTATCTCAGTCTGTTCATTATCTATCTATCTATCTATTCCTTATTAAGGTAAGTCATACTTAATCCGCCCATGTGTTCTAGTCAACATCCTTGAAGTTAAGCTATATAATTAATAGCAATTTACCTAAATCTTATGATGATTTAGTAAAGAAAATGTAGACTTTCACTTATTGGAGTTCTTTAACTTTAAGCTGGTACAATTAATTTTGATGTTTAACGACAAACACACGAAAAAAAATCAGTGACGTTCAGACAAACAGTGGTATCATTAAATAAAATTTTAGGCAAAAATATCTATTAATCGGTTAAAAATTATCTTTTTATTCATTATTTTTCTTTCGTGTAAAATACTTTATTCACTAGCAAATTTTCTATATATATATATATATATATATATATATACTGCGTGCCAAATTATTATCGAAATAACTTTTTTCTAATATTTCAAAAACCCTCCAATCAATTCACACAAATTTTCACACAATGTTAGCAACACTGACCTGCGCAATGAATGAAATTCTCTTACTGATCTGCGCAATGTAAAACCAAACTGGCGCCATATTTGTTATTAGCATGGTCATTTGAGCGTGCCAAATTATTAGAAAAATGTAAGTGAATTTAGTGAAAAGATGGTCCGTAAAAGCATTTTAAATGATGCTGAAAAGAAAACTCAGAACTCTCAAAAGGTAATTCTACCCTAGAAATTTCTAAAATGATAGGGAGGTGTCATCAAACAGTGAAAAAGTTCACTGTCGACCCTACACAAATACGTAAAAGTGCAGATAAAGGCAAGCCGAGTGTTATTTCACGTCGTCTCATGTCACGACTTAAACGAGAGGCCACGAATAACCCTGGACTTACCAGTCAAGAGCTTTTCAGTTGTATTGGAGATCCTACTGTGTCTAAAAGTACTAGGTGTCAGTAACTGAGGGAAATAGCAACAACAGTCAAACCTGTATCAAAGCCTCCATTGACGAGAAATCACATTCAAAATCGATTGAAATGGGCCAAGGACAATATGAAGATTGACTTCTCTAGAGTTTTGTTCACAGCCGAAACTCGAGCAACACTTGATGGGCCAGATAGATGGTGCAAAGGCTGGATAATGAACGGACAGGATCGCCATCAGCGTTTGAGACACCAACAATGCGGTGGAGGCATAATGATCTGGGGTGGTATTATTGGAAAAACATTAGTGGGCCCATGGAGAGTGACAGATGGCGTCGAAATGACAGCTGATGCATACATAGCGTTTATGAAGGAGCATCTTGAACCGTGGATGAAAAGTCAAAGAGTTGCCTTCAGAAGGGCCATCGTTTTTATGCAAGATAATGCTCCCTCACATGCTGCTCACAAGACTACTGAATATTTGAAACAGTTAGGCTTTGATGGACCTCGAAAAATGAAGTAGTCAACAAATTCTCTGGAATTGAACCCAATCGAAAACATTTGGAGCATCATGAAGCGAAGACTATACGCCAATGGACGACAATTCAGGTGCAACTCTGAGTTGTGGGAAGCAATTCTTGACATATCTCGCGGCATTACAGCAGATGACATCCTACAATTAACAAATTCTATGGATCGTCAACTTCTTCAAGTAATTTCAAAACAAGGAAAGCACATTCCCTATTAATTTGTTTAAAACTGTGCCTTTGTTTGTATCTGTTATTATTTGTTTGAATATTATTTATTAGCTTCTTTTGATCATAAACATTCACGTGCAACATTAATAAACGTTTTGTTTGCTAAATTCTGGGAATTTGACTAAACCTTTCTAATAATTTGGCACGCTCAAATCACCATGCTGATAAAACATATGGCGCCAGTTTGTTTACATTGCGCAGATCAGTACGAAAATTCCAAAGATTGCGCAGCTCAGTGTTGCTAACATTGTGTGAAAATTTTGTGTGAATTGATTGGACGGTTTTTGAAATATTAGAAAAAAAGTTATCTCGATAATAATTTGGCACGCAGTGTATATGTTGAAAATTGTTATGGTCCGGTTTCTTGTACCACGGTGATAGTCCAAGGTAGAACCATTAAAGAAGAACTTGAACACGGATATGGAATAACACAGATATATTACAAACAGGAATATATATAGAGAGTAGAAAGTGTTAGTACGAACAATCAGGTTTAGTAGTAATTGTCTGAACGCAACTCTGTTTCGGACTGCCTCTGATTCGACTGACTGAATCGCTCTGGCTGACTGACAGACTCCTGACGGACTTCCCTCCAGACTTCAGACTGAACTCTAGGCGCAGTATTTATTACGTATGGAATAGTCCATTATGTTATTATGGGTAAGGTCCCATAACAAAAATGCTTGCTCAAAATCGGTGATAGAGTGAATTTAGTTATAAACTTGGATATATTATCAATCTTAATGGTGAGTCACTTTTTTACGACTTAAACGTTCATCAGTAATACTTCTGAGGATAGCTTAAGACGTGAAACTGTCAGCAAAGATTGTTCGTTTCTGCGATGAAACTCTCCATATATACCGGGTGTAACAGCAAAATTTACAAATTCATGTAACAGCATATTTGTCCAAATTTTAGATTTAGATTGAAACTTTGTATCATAGAAATGATTAAAGATATCTTACCGGAATACTAGGAGGTTTCGATAACACTACTGGACTCTATTTTAAGCAATAAGAATGTATGATTACTCTCCAAGCTTACCAAAAGAACCGTGATGAAATCGATCAGAAACGATAATGACATGTTCATCATTAATTAATGCTAGGATCGGAAGTTCTTCAAGCATTGAAGCATTGAAATAAAGTTCAAATATATATATATATATATATATATATATATATATATATATATATATATATGTTATTCTGGGTCCTTTTCTAACTTATTCAGGATGATCTTCGTCCTCTCTAACCTTCTAACTTTCTGTTCTGCATAACAAGTTGCCTCACACGGTCCACGTACGATTGCATTTTCAATTCTTTTTTCACTGCTCTTTTCTTAGCAGAAACACCTTTCTCACATGCCAAACGTCTTATGGATTGAGTTATATCTTTTCTAATTGATCCCTTTATTTCTAAATTGAAATGATGATCTCTCTCCCTGCTGTTCCCTCCTGATCCAGATTTCCTCTCTACTGTTCCCTATATTTTAAATCTTATTCACCGTTCATTTGATGGTTCTGGAATGGACTTTGAAGATGGGAGCTAGTGTATGAATGTTGGTATCATTAGTGAAGGCCTGAATGATCTTTCTCCTCTCACCATTTTCCAGACCTAGTGGAGCTGACACAAAACGATTTTATCCTATTCTCTTTCTAGCTGAATAACAAAGGGTTTTCCAGTGATTCTTACGACAAGATGTCTAACCGTCTTATCTGAAAACCTGGAAAAAAGAAACTCAATTAGTTTACTTTTTCTTATTAGATATTAAACATTTTGTGGGATGGCCAGTTATGCAGTTACATGATTTGTACAATTTTGCTGTTCCACCCGGCATAAAAAAATATGGTGCTCATGGTTTATATATATATATATATATATATATATATATATATATATATATTTGTTTGATATTTTTCGTTTTTTACATACCTGTCTATACAATCATCTAAGAAATAATACTAAAATTTGCCGAAAAAAGTAAACAATTTATTTTATTTTGCAATTTGAACCGAACTAATACAGTACATACTTTCGTCGTTTATTTTTTCTTTTGAAATTTTTAGAGGATTGATTTTAAACGTTCAGTAAATTATTATTACAAACTAATTTAAGATCAAACGAAAGTTTACTGAGATTTCGTAATGAAATTTTTTATTAAAGAGAATGATTTAACTAATATTGTTTTCTGAGTAAATTTTCATAATTACATTTAGTCATTGATGCAGTCAGTGAAAAATTGTCTGAACTTTTTATAAGTAGTCGTAATTTAAAAAAAAATCTGGTTGAATCATGCGATCAAATTATATTTCTACTTAGTTTTCATGCAAAAACTTTTTAACAATTAGAACAAAAACCTCACCGATTTCTATATCCGAATATGTAGCAAGTTTACTTTATTTTAATGGAATAAAGTCTATAAAAATTAAACGAATTATTATGTAGAAATGGAATGTGTGGAAATCAGTTGCAGTCTGAAAATTTTTTAGTGTTTCTTTTAGTTTATTTAAGCAGTGTTAAAATCATCATCATCATCATGAAATTGCATTTTCAATAGTCATGTTTGAAAAAGAACTCAGTATTGAGATTGTCAAATTTTTGACTGATTTTTCTTTTACACTGTAAAAAAAATAATATCGTCCGAGTTGGTTTTAGCTTCCGTATAAAAATCAATTTACAATTAATTTGCATAGTAAACTCAACCATTATCAGTTGTTCTAAAAAAGTAAGAATTTATTTATTTGTGACCTGGAATTCTTAATCTGCAACAATATGAAAAATATTTTTTTTTTTAAATACGATCATTTCTAGTGGCAGTGTCTGTTGTTCATTTGCAACAAATGTCTAAAGCAATCATTGTTTTCTCACATTTTCAGTTACATGCCTTGAATTATTTAACCCCGCAAATTTCTTCAGAAAAAAATATACGGATATCTGAAAGAGATGCATATCTGCATATTCAGTTATGTATTAATCTTTTGAACCTTCAGCTGATGTAGATATAAAACTGATTTCAAAATCATGTTAAGAATATTTCTCAAAATGCAATGATACATAACAAGACCAGCGAGAATGCAACCTCACCTCTTTTCAGAACTAAATCTTCTGGTTTTACTCTTGATGCTTTCACAGGATTGCGATCAGAAATTAAGTAAACTACCCTATCAATAACCATTATATATATATATATATATATAGTAATTGGTCGGAGGATTTGATAATTTAATTAATTCATAGAGTCTGATAGAAACCTCAACAGAATGCAGAAAGCACTGGACGGCCGTTTCGTCCTATATTTGGGACTCATCAGCAGTGCGCATCCACTACCGAGAATTGAAACCCTGACAGTTAGGTTGTGAAGCGAACATCATACCAACTGTTCCAAGTGGGCCTCGGTGACGAAGAGATTCCAAATCAGACTCAACTTAGCGCCGCTCGCTCACATATTCCGTGGCGGAACTCGACTGAGATTCTCTGTAACCATAGGACTGTGCCCCCTGGAGCCACGACTACTCTCACCAAGCCGCTACCTACTGTAGCATTAGAAGCCAGTTCAAGCGATGATAAACACAAATAGTAATTAGAAGCCGGTTCAAGCGATGATAAACACAAATAGTAATTAATTATACACAAATGATAAACACAAATAGTAATTACTATTTGTGTTAATTAAATATATATTAATTAAATATATATATATATATTTGTGTGTTGTGTGTGTTTTTTAAACAATGAAAAATTAAAATTTTCAGACACACTGGGTGTATATTAATATATTTGTTTTATTATTTCAAATAGAATCCTCAATAGTTTCGGCCAGCATGGCCATCATCAGGAAAAAAATCCTGCTTGTTACTAGAAGTGAACTACAGGAATGAATGACTGTCGGAAGAAAATGAACTTTATTTGTAGTTTTAATTTGTTTTTTATCGTTAATTTTGTTCAGACCTTGTGTTGGTCAAACGGCCTCTTTTAAGCTGTTTTTAAGATAAAGACTGGATAGATTCATGTGACTCTGAATTCCCTTGGTCATTTTGACAGTTTTATTGGTTCCTGGAAAGGCGATGTTTTTGTGCTAAGTGTATGTTATCATTTAGCTCTTTGGGAGTGTATGATGTATGCAATTGTATATGGGTGTGTGTATAATGTCAAACCTCAAAACCTCCGCAAGCATATGTGGGTAGGGATTGATTTATGAGGTTATATATATATATATATATATATATATATATATATATATATATATATATTAGGCAGCATATGATATATATATATATATATATATATATTATATAGCATATGATTTACATACAAAGAATAATCACACATAGAATTAATCAGAAGTATCACAAGAAATATTTAAATAAAATTCTCACTTAAAAATTTTGAAAAACTTAGCGTTGCGTCTTTGCACGTTCCGATATCTTACAACCGTCAATAATATCAGATATTCAAAAAACATCTTTCGATCGACATACAGGTATATCGTCTCAAGTTTTTGATTTTATAAGGCAAAAAAACACATGCCTGATGATGGATGGAAGACTGTCCGTAAGTACTAGCATTTTAACATCAAATAAACTGAAAAACTACAGACAACAAGTTTTTCTTCAAGGATCAAAACTCGCACTATGGATGAACAGGATTTTAATGCATATATTATGTTTTCTAGCGATGGATGTCACCAATAATCGCATTGATACTTCTGATTAATTCTATGTGTGATTATTCTTTGTATATATATATATATATATATATATATATATATATATATATATATATATATATGCTCAGAATCTAAGCTAGATGAAGAGCTGAAAGCAATTACTAAGGCTCTAGCTAATAATGAGTAACCTTTGGATATTATTAAGTCGCTCATGAAAAAGAAAATCTTAAATTTCTTTAAACCCAGACCGAGTACGGCTCATAAATGAGCCTTGTTTGGATTCAATAAGTGGTAAAGTTGCTAACCAAATCAAGTCAGCGGTTAAAAATTGCTATTTTTCCGCCAATGTGCGTGTTGTTTTTTATACCAGGTCTCCTTGGATGTCTGTTTGGAAGGGCGTTCTGCCTCCCCACCATATTAATAATGTAATATACTGTTTTGAATGTAGTTTCGGAGCCGACTACATAGGTAGAACTACCTTATGTTTAGACGCACGGATTAACAAGCACCTACACAGAAGAATTAGGAATGGTACGTTCCACTCCGGTGACAAGATCGTGAACACATACGGCTCTGCCATTTCTGAACACCTTATAAACGATCCAAAGTTGAGCCACAAATTTCAGCATGGATTCATTTTCCATCCTTAGTCATTCTCATTCTGTGTTACACTTAAAAGTATTGGAAACGGTCTATGTCAGGTCCAGACAGCCCTTCCTTGAGACCAGCCGAAATCTTTCCGGCTGGCAGGTCGAACTCTTTGCCTCGGAGTTTGACCAACCTGATCGCGTTTATACGGGCATTTTTTGGCCGAGTCTACGGGCTCGTAGAACACATGTTAAATCCGGCCTTGTGCCACATGCAACACTCCTGTGGGGTGGTGACTGAATATACCAGACAGCCCTCCCTCTGTAAACAGAGGGAATGCCTGTTAGGGCTTGACATGATTTCCATCTGATCTTTCCACCTTTATTTTATCACATGCATCTCATGTTTTTTATATTTTGTATTGCAATATTTAGTCCTTCTCGATTTCAGCTCTTTTGAATGACGGCGAAACCGGTCGGCTGGTCAATTCCTTTTTTTTAATCATGAATGGTAAAATTCTTCTTGCCGTTTTTATTTCCATAATAAAATTTTGTACCCCAAGAAAATAATGATATATATATATATATATATATATATATATATATATATATATATATATATATATATATATGTGCGTGTGTTTATTGACAACTATAGAAAAATCATGTTAAAATCGCTAAATCAATACAATCATGTTTCAGTGATGGTCAACTGCACAATACACGGTCATTTTAGGTTTTAAACCAGTAAAACCTTAAACGGGAAGAGGTGAGGCGAAAAAAAACTAAATTTCTGACATGCTAGCTGGGGTGGAGACCTCGATTAACCGATCAAACCAATAATGAGTTTGAAGTTAACTTCCGTGTTTGATTTCTGTTAGATGTACAAGTTATTTAGAATCCCACCTCGATGTTAATAAGATGTGAAGTTCCTAGTATTCTTTGGTCTGAACTCAGTAAACCTACAAAACAATGTAAACTATCAAGAAAAAGGTAAAAGTTAAGTCTACCAATAAATCTGTCTAACGCCGCCATATATATATATATATATATATATATATATATATATATATATATATATATATATATATATATCATCAGTATTCATCATTCACAATGCTGAAGCCCGTCAAGGTGGCAGGGGGCGTGGAGAGAGATGATAGAGAAGAAGAGAATTAGTGAACCAGGAATAAATGAGACGTATACATATACAGTTCCAAACATAGACCCATACATACTCATACATCCACAAATATATACATATACACATATAGGTATAAACACACACATGAAACATGATTGCATTTATATAGCGGTTTATAACATTTTTTATAATTGTTAATAATCATCATCATTATTATTATTATTATTATTATTGTCTACTCTTTTTAAAATATGATGTTTGAAGATTGATACTAACCTACCTTACATATATATATATATATATATATATATATATATATATATATATATATATATATATATATATATATATAGTATAGGATTGGTGTATACCGAATAAATTCCAATAACCAACAATTACTATTTTCTTAAAAGAGTGCTCAATACAGAGTAAAGCAGATATAATTATTTATTTAAAAATTATAACATAAATATGTTATAAAATCACTACAAAAATAGCCATTGTGTTTCAATACCTCCGGTGTCTTATCAAGTGATGATGTTGAATGTTCAATCTATCTATATAACCGCAAAAACCCGTATCTATCTATATAACCGCAAAACCCCGTATCTATCTATCTATCTATCTATATATCTATCTATCTATCTATCTGTCCGCGGTTATCCCGTATCTATCTATCTATCTATAGACAGATAGAAAGAAAAGATAGATAGCTAGTTAGATAGATAGATAGATAGATAGATAGATAGATAGATAGATAGATAGAAACGGACAAATGAAATATGTTAACTTTAGGTATGACATATAAGTAAAGTTGAGAATCAGATGGAATGCTAAATAAATAAGACAGTTTAGAAAACTTTTATTTTGACATGTTTCGCCGATCAACATGCGTGATCAGCCAATAAGCGTATTTTAGCAAAATCGTGACAGAACGTGATTCCCGTTAATCTTCTGTAAGCTTGATTTTTACCTCAACTGTAACGTAATACAAATCAAATTATCACTAATTTGAAGTTAGTTTTGATTGGCATTCTTTTCATATTCTTATTTTTAAGATTTACCTATCCCACAAAGTTCAGTAATAATTTCGTATGACAGTTGATTCCCTGAAATAACAAAGCCATATATTTAGTTTTGGTTATTTGTAGATCGTGAAATTGTTAATGCCTTTAACAAATTATATTCGTTTACTTTTTTATTTAAAAAATAAGAAATAAGTTGAAATTAGAAAATTCGTTCAAATTTGACTCATAGATGTTGATTTTTC